CCGAGGCCTAAACGGAGGTCTTCTCACTATTAACGGCTTCGTCTGCGATGTCTGTCCATTTGGCTGAAGAATTCCCTTTTTATCGTTGCTGTTGTCATCGCCACTAACTATAACACCAGATCCGACCTGCAATGTGGGCGCCTTTCCGTTGCCACCAGTGCTGGACGGATGTCCGTGTGATTTATGGCGAATGGGTCCCACATGAGGCTTCACTTCATCCATTTCGACCGCAACTACAATTGGTTTGCCGATGGGAGTCATGCTATGTCTGGTAGTACTGGAAGAGTCAGCCGAACCCAACAGTGTTATGATATCCTCTGCACTACTAGTAAAAGAGGGGGCAATAGGTTTGTGAACGTTGTGAGGAACCGGTCTTCCGTATACTATGTCTGCATCTTCTTTGCTCGCATTTTGCGGTATATTTAATGAGAAATTTATAATATTATTAGTAACCGAAGTATTAATTTGTTTATTGGTGTTCAAGTGTTGCGTTAAATCAATGTTTTGAGTGGAAAACACAGTCGAAAAAGTGGAAGAATTGGTGGCGACTGGAGTCGGGTCTATAGTTGGCACCGAAGTGGATGTTTTTGGACCCATTTGTTGCTTTACAATCACTTCGAAAACACTGGGCTCTTCAGGCATTGTTATAATAATTGGTTCTTCGGAAGATAATTCATGGGTTGTGGCACTTGAAGGTACTAATACTGGCACCCAATCAGTGACCGGACCCGTTGGAAGCGGTGTCTGTGGCTGACTCGGTATCACAAAAGAAGACACCATTTGTTCGGTAAATTCGGTCGTATTTTGCGATTCTTTGAGTGTTGTGTCAAAATCAGGCAAAGATGTAGTCTTAGAAATACTGGCCTCAAGTAAATGGGATGAAAGCGAAGAAAATATGTTTGAATAATAAGCATTCGATTGAATAAACTCTTGGATTTTTGACGGATTGGTTAACACTTTATCAGTAAATATGGGCCGAGAATTAATAACTGAGTTAACAATCGTTTTATCTTTGAATTTATCGATCATTTGTGTCGTTTGAAGTTTAGGCATATTTTTAAGAGCAATCATATCCTTCTCGTCTTTGATGTGAGGCTTAATTAAACCCAACAGAAAACTGACATCACTTTCAGGGATAACGAACGGAGGTTTAGTCGGCATTATGTTTAACGGGAGAGGAAGTCGTCCCAAATGGGACGGCGGAAATGGAAGTGCTATACCCGCCGGTCTGCCCGGACCTATCAATACACTCGGGGGCACAGCATTAGGCACACCATTAGGTAAGGGATGATTTAATGGGTTAGGGTAGGGAGCTTTGGGAGGACCGCGATTGTTAATGCGAGTATTTGATAGCGAGAGGTCCGGTCTATAAGGACCTAATGGTTGCAATTTATTCGGAGGTCTCGGAAGCTTAACATTACCTCCAATTAACTGTAAAATACCACTAATTATATCATCCATCGATGGGTTGGAATTTGTTCGTCTTTTTTCGCCATTTTCTATCGTTTGGTTATTATATTGAATTGAAGTAATGTTTGAAACGAATGGCGGTATTAATGGGTCTGAAGTAGGAATTGGTTCCGAAGAAGTAGAAGAAAACAATGGAATAGAGACTAAATTAAGTTCGGGTTGAGATATATTTTCGTCATATTCTGGTTTAGAATTAGAACTTTGATTATAAAAATAACTTTTGCTGTTATTATTGCCATTTATTGTTGAATAAGTGGTCACATCTATGTCTTCAGTCGTTATATCATTTGCATCTACAAAGACAAGAATATAACAACAAAATAAAATGTTTTTGTCTTTCGTTAATTATCACAGAAATAGCAAGTTATTAGACATAAGACACAATTACACCTCAATATCTGACCTAAAATCCTATCTTTCATTCATTGTTAAAATACAAAACTCTTCTCTAAATAATGAGTGAATCCAAACTGAAAGAGTGATTTACTTATTTCAATATGTCATATATCCGGGTCGCCCACTTACCAATCCAACCCAGACATCCAACAACTCAATTCAATCT